AATCAGAGACTTTGCATCTTATCCCAGATGTGAGACATCATCTCACTGTTAAAAAATCTCCAAACTTCAGAGTCCAAATTCCACTGTATGACTCTGTCTCTAACCTGCTTGTCATTATAGGGAGAAGAAGCAGTCACCGCCTGTCTCTTGTTCATGAACCCAAGAGTGAACCAACTGACATGTCATTCTCTCCCTTCACATAAATGTGAGATTTTTATGAAACCAAGAAAAACCATAGGGAAGTTGGATCTGGAGCTGACCAAGATGGGAAATGTGATACTCATCAGGCAAAAACACGGCATCTCAGTATCAGAAAGACCGAGCTCACCAGGAGAAAGGTTCTTTTTGCTAACGGCAGACTTCCTTGGCTTTCCAGAGCCAGGACTCACTCTCTCCTAAGGGCTGGCACCAAACACTTAGTTAACCATTGTCTTGTTGATGCAAGAACCAGAAGTGACTACAGACCCTCCTTGAGCTCTGCTGAATCTGCAGGACAGTCAGGGCATAGGCACAGCAACTTAGTGTGGTGCTGAGAAAGACAGGGGCAGTTTGTAGAGCCTCAGCATCAGACACATCTCCATGGCTCTCCAGCAATGTAACTGAACGTCCTGTAGTCATGCCCCAGCCTCAGTGTGTCTAGTTGGGCTAACAAGAGCAGCAAAGTTGCAATGACAGGAACTCAAGCCACCCAAGAAATATCCGGACTGGCTAGGTAAAATTCAGTTCATTGTGGCTTCAGCACCATCGCCACCCATCACAGCTAAATTATAGCAAGCTCAATGTCTATGCAGGCTGCAACTACACCCTGCAGTATAGATGAAGCTTTAGAGCAGGACAGTCCTCTCGGAGCTGGAGGGACAGGCTTCTGAGGAAGCAAGGATGAAAATAATGGATTCTCTATGCATTGACTTGCACTGTGTTATACAAGCCTTTTTAGGGACTAAACACTGAGTAAACTGAAAGTCAGTGTTTTCCAACAGGCTTTAAGTAGAATGAAATGGTCCAATACAGATCAAAAGAACAGGTGTTTATCTACACAGAAAAGATTCCCTACTTTGCTAGGCTGCAGGACACTGCTGTTTTTTGCCTGACACTGGTAGGGAAATACACTTAATCTGCTTGCAACCTATGGGAAGGCAAAGGACAGTGTGCCCAGAGAAGTGCTGGGCTCCTGTCTGAGACCATCCACTGCCAAATCAGCAGCCACAGCTACACTCACCTTGAAAATGAAACACCGAAAAGTGCCTGGCTTCTCCACATCCTGTTCCACCAGTGTGTGATTGTGGGTTGTCACCTCCAGGGTGACAGCCAGGTGGACAGCCTCAGTCAGGGAGCAGAGGTGAATGCAGAGCTTCTCCTCTTGGGAATGGTGAATGACAGCAGGGAACACCACCATATAGTGACTAGAAGAGAGCAGGAGATGTTCAAAAACAATTCAGAAGCTGAGGTGGACAGGCCAGAATCCATCTCAGCTGCTTTCATGAAGAGGTAGACCAGGGGTCAGAAATGTCTGGAGGCCTGCAGTGAAGGAACTACAGTGCAGCTCCCTTACTATACCAGAAAGAAGCAACATGCCCAGTGTGGAACCAGAAGGCTCCTGGTATGTCTGTCACCATCTTGCCACCAGCCAGGACACAGCTGCCCAGTGTACGGTACTCCAATTGCAAGTACACAGAGCAAGGCTGTGTGAGGAATGAAGCTGAAGACTCAGTGGCTGAGGCAGAAGGCTTCAGTCCTCACACCAAATTTGACCCCCACCAGCACAGGATGAACAGAGTCAAAACTTGTGGCTTCTATAGTTTTGCAGTGTGTGCAGTGCAGTGCCTGCACAAGCAAACACCAGGGGCTTCACCTGCAGTGGTTCTCGACACCCAGCGCTCCAATGGGACTCAGTAGGAGCTGCTTCTGCTCAGCCTACCTGAGAAGAAGGCCCCCACCATTCAGCTCTGTGATGCTAAACAGTGCAGCACCTCAGCACCACCCTTCAATGACAGTCCCTTCCACCAAGCACCCCAAAATCAAAAGGAGATATTCTCACGGTTCCAGGCTTGCTGCAGCTGCGACTGGGAATAGGGTCAGGGCTAAGAGGAGCACTGGTGCTCCCATTGCTTGGGCTGGGACAGACAGCTGACAAGATCCACACAGGAGGAGAGAACTGCCTGTATTGATGGGCCGGAGCAATCCTTAATACCCCCCCTCAGATGGTTCTAAGTCCAAAGAGTGGGGGAGTTTATATGAGAGAGTATCTCTTCCAGTCTAATGACGTTAGCTAATATTTACTCGCTTCCACCAACAGCAGAGTAAAGGCCAGACAGCACAGTTCTCCACCCACATCTACATTCAGATGGTATTCCAGGCCATGGGGTGCCAGAGCACTGTGGGGTGGGTGACGTCTAACCCAGGCTGAAGGGGACTTAAGAGAAACACTCATCTCAGCTGTGGCTGGTCTGGATCCTGGCTGTAGCATACAAATGAGAGCCAAAGCTGCACACCACCTGCTGTCCTCAGCTTGTAAAAAGCATCCTCAATACTCTTTCTGTGCATCATTAGTGATCTTCCTCTCATCCAGTATTTAATAAGAGCTTGGTGTAAAAACCTTTCAATTCATCTCCATTCCCTGAATCACTACCTCTGTCCACACATCCATCCCAGCCATGTCTGATCCTCCTGGGTACAGAACCTTCTCCAGGGCTGCTCCTGCTACCCACTGCCAACTCCCCTCGTAGCTCCACTGTAAGGCCTTTCCAAATAAAGCAAGACATTTTAAGCACCCACATATTTTAGCAAATCTCTACGTTATATCCCCCCAAGCCAGATGTCCAGTTTCTGCCAGCTTCCTCCAGCCATGAGGTAGTTCTACACTGACACCACTACCCATCTCCTCCAGACTCTTCTCAGGCACTGCAACCTTGTATTTCCTTTTGCTGGGTGGCAGCAGTGAAGTTGACAGGGCTTAGATGTATTTGCCCTGTAGTTGCAACCTCATTTGAAGGTGGATGTCCTCATCCTGCCCTGGCCCCAGCTGTGTTTTTGCAGAGCATAACCAAGGGTACACAATATAGAGTGAATTTGCCATCCACCCACTCTTTGCTCCCAGCTGAAGCAATCCCCTGGATTTACTTTGGCACAGTCTCCATATGTGTGCTTAGCATCCACTCTCTTAGTGCACAGTCCGATGTAACAGGAACACACTAGCCTTTAACCTAGCACTGACATTCAGATAATCTGCAGGTTTAAAGCACTGTATGTCACTGATCTGGGAGCATATTTGATTCTCCGAAATCAACAGGGTTTTGAGTTCAAGCCTAAACTAGCAGGACAAAAAACAATCAGAGTTCTGCCTGGTTTCAGAAACACTCCCCACAGCTCTGCATCTCTGAATGGTCATCAAGTTGGCTGTCTCTGAAGTTAAATGGGAACAGATAGACAACAAAAAGATAATAACATGCTAAAGTTCTTCCCTCCTTCCAGAGAGGAGTGGGGGCACTGGCAGAGCTGTGGTGGAGCTCTGGGCTGGTCTGGCTGGAGTCTGCAGGGCAGCAGGGAAATTTCAGTAAGAAGTAAATAATACATAAAAAAGAAGTTCTACAGAAGAAGAACACTGAAACAAACTCCACTGACATCAAAAAGAATGAATTTGCCGCAGGATGTTTCCAATGAAATCCCGGTGAAGACACCTTTATAAAAACCGAGCCCCTGTACCAAATACAGTAACTGAGCGCTCCTGCTGCCATCAGCTGTACTGCGTAAGAAGGCAGAGCAAGACATCTCCCAGAGAAATACCAAGGAGCCTTACAAAGCCATGAGGCAAGTGCCTTTGGTGCGTAGGTAATAAGCACTGTCTCCACCCCTTCCACCCGCCCACATCGCAGCCCCAGCCATGCGCAGCATGATTTCCACCTTCTTGGTTTCGAAGCCAAGAGAGAGACAGGCAGCCTGTCAGGACAGGAGCTGCATAGTCCTTCAGCTCTGGATGAGGGGGAGAGGGAAGAAGGAAAGCATCAGAAGTGGGGGCAAAGCGGGGACAGAGGAGAGGCTCACCTTTCTGTGGAGGGATTCGACCTGCAATCAGCTATGTGGAGCATCGCTTTCCTGTGGGGCAGCATCCTTCTCCTGCCTAGCACAGCCGGAATGCCTGCAATGCTGTAAGAACCTCAGCTGGTCACATACGTGCTCTGGTCTGTGGGGAATCCTGGGGGGGTGGTGGTGTGACAGAAACAGGACAGAAGTTATAAGACCTAGAATGTTTTTCCAAAGAGGCATAATTTCTCATAATCCCAAGGTTTCATTTGGTTCCCATGCGCCTTCCCCACAATGCTCCCCCTACTACTTGGCTCTCCGTTTAGTGCCTTTGATGTAGACCATGTATTTCTGCAAGGACTTGGGCAGAGCAACTCTGCCAGCTTTCTGCGTGTGTTTAATTCTGACCTGCCAACATCTCATGTCTCCTACTGTGCTCCAGAATATACTTCCTTTTGGGCTATGCTTTTCTCCCCAGAGTCATAGGTCACCATTTAAATCTTTAGCAGAGAAAGCTGGGTGCCTTTACAAACTGGGCAAACATGAGCCCAAGGTATCTAATAGGGATGCTCTTTGTAAAGCAATGTGTTCATTCTGACTTAGCTGGCCATCAGCTCCCTCAGACTGTCTGAGAAACCTCTGGCAAGTACAATTCCCAGCACTGCTTCTCTTCATATACTTTATCAGGAATGCAACTCTTGTTCCAGCAGGCACTGCTGTGATATATTGGCTTGTGAACTTGCTTTTGCCTTTTGAAGGCCTTTGCTTTTCCAGCCATGGCATAAGTGCAAACAGAAACAGAGCTGTGCTCAAACAATAGATATTACAGTGGGAAATATGTGACTGGGTCGTAGCTGGGTTCCCTCCTGCCACATGTGGTGTGGCATGAATAAATCTAGTTTTAAAAATCTGTTCCAGTGGTAGTACAGCCTCTTCCTCTAGGACATGTTCCATAGGCTGACACAGCTCCTGCTCAAATCATGCTTTACTGCTACCGGTTTCCCACTGTTACCTTCAGCATGAAGGTAAAGGCATGCTTTATGGAAATACTGCTCGCTTCAATAGGCTGTCTGCTGTCCTGCCTATATGCCAATGTGTTTTATAGATTCATGAGAAAGTAATCCAGCCTGGCTCTTGGGATCCTTGAATGACAGCTTCAGAGATGCTGTCTCAGACTTTTGTAGCTTAGAAGGCAAGGGCAAGGGATGAATTGGCAAAGCGTGTAAGAAAATGTTCCAGAGAAAAGGGTCATTAGGAGCAAGAGAAGTATGGGAGGTTCAAGCAGTGAGTCTTTAGTACTCATCCTGTCCTTTAGCCCAGTGGCAATGGGGAGGTGCCTTGAGTCAGCTTAAGTAGGAAAATCAAAACGCTGTTGGCATCTTTTATCAGATCCCCTACTATTAGCAGCAGACAAGCTGCTCAAGGCAGCTTGACAGCACTCAAGTATGAAAGCACTCAAGGCTTCTGACCAGCAGGACTTTGACTCTCTCTTGCCAGGGTGCTGAGCTCCAGCTAAGAACTGCCAGCAGGTCACGTCCCTGCCTCCTGCTGCTGCAAAACATGCTGCTGGCTGAACCTGTCCAGAGGCAGTAAGCAGGAGTCGTCAGTGATAAGAGTTTTCAAACCTGCTTGAATGTTGGCTTTTCTTTGGTCCTACTTGCTGCAGTGCAGTATAAGATGAAAAAAAAACCCAGTATGAACAACTTCTTGGTGTTATCCATGGGCACAGCTATGAGAGTAGCCACAGAGGTGTGAGATCTGGCATAAGAGAGCAAGGACGACAGGAGTTTCAGGAGCTGAAGAGAAGGTGCTCATGAGACTGTGTCTGGGACACAAAGTCAGGACACTGGGTCTCATACGCTTGGCATTGGTTCTGAGCCCAAGAGTAGCTGACAGGACAGAAAGCAGATAACCAGCCAAGCAAACTGATGGTGATACGTAGCGTGGTTCAGTGAAAAGGCTGAAGTCTCAGGAAACCTTCAGTGTAGCCAAGCTCTGCTGCTGATCCTTTGGGTGATGTGGGGAGGTCTCTTCACTTTATTTTGACTTTCAGTTTTGGAAGCAGTGACTATCTTTTTACATGTGCATGCAGCATGTAGTGCAAACTCAGTGATAATGGCTGCAGTACCGATAGATGAGAACAACAATGTGATCTTGTCCCACTGGCATTGTGACAGTAGAATGAAGAGACCAGAACTCTTGTTAGGAAGTACCCAAATCCTATGTCAAAACCTGTCCTCTTAGAAAATCAGTTTCACCTGACTTTTTTTTTTCTTTTTTAATAGAAATTATGCCGTGGCAATACCATCTCAGCTCTACTACCCTTTCTCAGAGACAGTGTGCCTCCAACTCAGCAGAAAGCAAGCAATCCCAATCCATGTGACAGTAACCTTGCAAAGCAGAGCTGGGAATGAGACTCTGATCACTCAGTCCATCTCTCAGCTCACGTTCTTTCATTGCACAAACTTCCAGGTGAGGAATATATTTTCCAGAGTTGTCAGTAGGGTGGATAGCATATGAGTTCTTCTCTTGCTGGGCAGGAAGGCACAGAATTGTGTCTTACCATGGGGGCATCTTAACTGGGCACTGAATCTTCTGATTCAGCCTGTGTAGGTCTGCCAGCGTCCTTCCTGCTGTGTAGCCCCACTGATATTTTACTCTTCTAGAAAGTATTCTGAAAAGTACTGTGAGGTCTTTCAGGGCAAGAAGAACTGGAGCAATATAAAAGCAGTATCATAATCGTTATTCCAAAAGCTGGGGGATCCATGAATGGGATCCACCCTGAGTGATGGTTACAACTATGCCTGCAGGTCCCTCCTCCTGTTGGAAACCCTGATGAAGTGGCTTTTATTGGGATCACAGTCCTGGAAGCCAACTCAGAGTATCAGAAAAAACAGAAAGTCCTAATCAAGCACGCAGACAAGAAGACTTTTATCCAGACAGACAAACCTGTGTACAAACCTGGACAGATTGGTATGGACAGAATACCATGTCTTGTGAGAGAAAGAGCAATCCTCAGGCCACAAAATACGGGGTAGCCTCTAGAGCTTGGAGTGGGGCCTCCTCTGCAAGGGAGATGGGTTACAGGCTTCATCTCCCTTCTAGGCTCTTCCTGGGGATACCTCTCTCCTGCATAAGCATAGCTTGTGTTTGCCCCAGTGCTAGCCATACTCAGACAGCATGCCAGTGTGAACAGGGCTTGTGTGTTTTGGCTGATGCATGAGAAGAGGTTCAGGTGCCATGGTGTTATATTCATGATTGCCCCAATCAAAGCCACAGCAGTCTGTCAGTGCCCTAAATCCCTCTCTCTCCCACAGACTCCCTCAAATGAGGATCACGGCCCTGCAGGCCCCGTCACTGCCCTAGCACAGCTCAGATCACCGCAGGGTACAGCTCTTTGTCCCATGCCTCTCCACCCTTTCCACTGGCATGACCTTCCCTGCAGACAAGCCTGAGTGCCCCACCGTGGGTCCAATGTCCAGAAAAATGCTGTTTCTCACCAGCACAGCCAGCCTTCCCAGAAACCCCACACCACCTCTCCTGCCACATTTTTTCTAGCAGGCTGCCAGCTCGTAGCAGGGCTCGAGCTGCTGTCCACACCCTCTCAGTGAAGCACATCGGCACATCTTGCTTAGCCATCCATTCTTATTGTTATTAACAGACGTGATTTCATTTCAGCCAGTCCTGTTTTTCTTTTGCTCTGTAGTCAAGTGGCGAATTGTAACCTTGGATCAGAACTTTATTGCCAGCAATGAAACGGTAAGTCAAGAGGGGAGAAACCTTAATAAGTCTGAAAATGCTATGGGTTGCCTCCACAACTTCTGGATCAGTGCTTGGCCCAGCTAGGTGATCCATCTGTGGACAGCTAGTTTCAGTGTTGCTTTTGGTGCTTACAAGCAGCGTTGGGCACCACCTGCAACGCAGGAGCTGCCCATGATGTTGGGTCACAGGCAGTCCCTGGGAATTGCTTAGGGAAGACTCATGCATGGTTGGGGGATAAAAAATGCCATGGAGGTGGATGGTAAAGCATGAAAAAAAAAAGCATGAAAGCATCCCACCAGTAACTGTTATTTCCTCCCCACAGCACCGCCTGGTCGAACTGAAGGTAAAGCACCTAGTTTATTGAAAGTGGTGATCTCTTCTCACCTGGGGGAAGACACAGGTTTGGAGATGATGGTGGGGAAATATGGATGCAGAAAGCCAGTTACCTCAGAATGAATGGGAACAGTCCTCAACTTCTTGCCCTTCCTTCCTTTAGTATCCACACAAGTTTGGCAGTGCAGTGTCATGATACCAATCACACAGGGGTCACGGCAGTAAATGATGGGTGTCACTGAAAACCAGTCCAGCAAACTTTTCTAGAGTGGTCACAGGACTTTTAGTCCCTCCAGCCTGTGAACTGAAGATTTGTGAAAATCCTGAAGTTTCTTTAAGGAGACTTTCATATTTAACACACAGAAAATAAAAGTTTGACCACTTAGTGTTGTGGCTACACAGCTAGAGAAACTTCCTAAAGCAGCTTTCAGGATATTGTTCTTAAAATCTGTTACTTTAGTTTCAATATTATAGGTAAAATATGGACTGCAATCACCTGAGCTGAGGAAAGGTACCTGAAAGCAGTGTGGAGTTTTAATAACCCATGCAGAGAGGTCACAGTTCCAACTAGCAATTGGCAGTAGCTAATGCACATTTGCATGCCATACCCACCAAGCAATCAATACACAAACACATGGTTTCTGAGACACCTATGCAATGCTTTATCCCAGTTTATACAAACGTACTACTCTGATCCAGCTTCACCCTTTCAAACAACAGTTCCCACTTGTTCCATATGTTTATAAAGCACCCATCAACTCATTGCTAAGTCCTTCCTGGCTGGGCAGTGTGACTGTAGCCAGAGATCTTCATCTTGCCCTCCCAAGAACTAGCAGTGGGAGAACACTGTCCATCGTGGACTGACTGTGACAATCAACAAAGCCTCCAAGTGCCTTTTCATCCCAGGTCTTTACATCCTCGTTTCTATACTGGGCCTCATGGTCCCCTGCGTGAAGTGCTGGACTCATTTCCCCAGACTTTCCTGGGGATTCAAGAAATCAGACTCCCCCGCAATCACTCCCAAGTAGCTCATGCCTTAGACAGCACGTACTGTCAAGACTGACCCTCTCCACAGTGACCTGGGGGCTATGCCAGCTCAGATCATGACAGGCATCTCTGAGAGGGACGACCTCTATCTCTTAGTGAGACAGGCAGGCAGTAAATGGCAGTTTTGCAGCAGTCAGTGAGATGATGGTGCCACCAGAGAGCAATAATATGATAGATTGACTTTTTGTCAATGAGACAGGGAGAAAAGCCCTATCCTCTTCGAGCTAGGACTGAACCTGAGCACTGTAGCTGTGTCATAGACCTGGGCTCTCAGGACAAGAGGGTGTGTGCTCAGACCATGCTGTGGTATCTTGGACATCCTGCAAAAGAGTATCTTTTTGCACTGGGAAATAACTACTCTCTACTATTGCCTATGCAGAATCCCAAAGGGAACCGAATTGCACAGTGGCTGAATGTTACACCTGTGGGAGGCATTGTGGATCTGTCCTTCCCTCTGGCTGCAGAAGCACCGGTTGGAGGATACACCATCAAAATGCCTGACCGCACACATACCTTCAGGGTAGAGGAGTATGGTAAGAGTGTCAGGGAGTTGATGGCAGCAGAGAAAGATGTATTGCCTCCAGCGCCCCTCTCTCACATAGAGTTGAATGGGCCATGCAGCTGTGAACAGCTGTGCTAGTTGTGCTAGCACCTGAGATGTCCAATTGCCTGCCAGTAGGTGTTATCACTGACTTTCACTAAGGCCCACTGGCTTTCTGCTCCCCCATGTCCTGAGGATGGACTGAGGCACTGTCCCACAGCTGTGCTTTGGGGAGAAGACTAAGGCTGTCTACTCCCACAGCACTCTCCTGACTGGGCTGCTGGTGCATTGCTACCAGGCCCTGTCCTCTGGTAGTCAGGGAATGAAAGGAGAGATTTCTTTTCTGTGAACAACCATTTGAGGAGGACTGGAACAAATGAGCTCTCTCTGTTCTCACTGAATTATATTTCTCTTGCTTTCACACAGTGGTGCCCAAGTTCAGTGTCTCCATCCAGATGCCCCAGGTGGTCACCATCTTGGAGGAGAACTTCCGTCTCCATGTCTGTGGCATGTGAGTTGACTTACCATGACAGAAGGTGCATTCTTACTGGTTTGGAAACTGAACAGCTGTCAATAACTGAGCTCAGAATGGTCTCTACCAACTCTACCCACACCTCAAAGTCTGGTACCCTGGCATCCTTTGCTAAGGAATTCTCCTGGACTCTCACCTTTCTCCATATTCTCTCTCCCTTCTTTTTTCTCTGTGAGTTTGAAAGTGTGCCAGTGGATCGCTTCAGCGGGGCATGTGCCCTACAATACAGTAACTCTGCTGCATTGATTAGTGCCAGTGTGGACGGAATAATGACTCAACTTGTGGCCAGCACAATGTCCCCTAGCATTGCCTGGTGGGACTAGTGTTGACTTGGAGAGAACTCACCCACCACTGCCTTCTGTCTCAATCTGATGAAGTCATTTTAACTTCTTGGCCTCTGCTGAGCTCATGAACCATAAAGATACTGCAGGCCGCTGGGTTGTATAGCTGCAAACCCCAGGCTAAAGATGATATTATTCACCCGTGAGTCAGTGTTTCTGTATGTGAGTGTAAGTCAGTCCTCACTGCTATGTTTGCCAGGTACACGTACGGGAAACCAGTCCAAGGTAGTGTGAAGGCTGTGGTGTGCCGTAAATATATCCGCTATAATCGGAGGTCTTCCAAAGCCAAGCGCAGTATTTGTAAGGATTACACTGGCGAGGTGAGCACATGGGACATCCACTCCTCTTGCAAAAGAGAGGAACAGGGGTAAAGAGAGGGAAGAATACTAAAGGGACAGACATCAGCTATTGAAGCAGCATGCTCTTTGCTCGGGGACAAATGACTGATATGTCCTTAACTCCTCAATGTAGCAATCTTTTAGCCCCTCTCAGTGATTTCTCTGACTGCACTTAGATGCACTCAAAAGAAGAAGCATCTGTAGGCAAGCTAACTATTGCAACAGATATTGCAACAGGGCAATAAAAAACAAAACAAAACACTGTCCACATCGATTCACTTCCACTGGATGCTTTTTAGCACCCCCTTTTAATCTGGTGTAAACACCTATATTCTCTTT